ATTAGGGTCAAGATAAATCAGGAATCCCAGCCTGGTCTTACCTGAAGTTCTGGCACCGAGAGCACTGATTCCTCCGAAGCCGAAGACATCTCGTCTTCCTCATCCTGGATATAATCGTCAAAATCCTCCTCTTCCTCTTCCTCCAGACTATCTTTCTCGCCTCCTCCCTCCTGGCCGGACGACGCCGTCCCTTCGGGGCGGTTCCCCACTTCCTCCCTTTTTCCCGAGGAGCTGGCGGGATCCGCCACGGCGCTGCCGACGGCGTGGGCAGGGGAAGCGTGACGACTTCCTCCTTCGGCGGCTTGTGGCCCGGTTGAGTTGGGGGCCTCCTGCTCCTCCTCTTCCTCCTCCTGCTCCTCCTCCTGGCAGCCCACTTGGCTCTGCCCTTCCTTCAGCGCCTTCCTGACCCCCGAGGCCGGCTCAACCTCCAGGCCCTGCCCGAGGCCCAAAACCAGCTCGCTTTTCATCGGGGAGCCTTCCGAAGATGGATTTGGCGGGATGGGGGCGGCTTCTGGAGAGGGTATTATTTCCTTCGAGGCGTCCGAGTCCACCTTGACCAAGTCTTCTAACTCCGCCACGGGGGAGAAGGGAGCAGGGCCCAAAACCTCTCCCCCCTCCACGTAACTCTGGACAGGAAGTTCTGCCTGGACCCCAGAGGGAAGCTCGGCGGACCACGGGCCACCGGCTTCTCCTGGGACCGTTTTGGGGCTGGACTCGCCAGGGTCTGGAATATCCCCACCGGGTGCCATTTTGCTGGCCGGCGGAGGACACCTCTCCGCGTCTTTGGTCAGCGCGGACGCCGGGGGAGGGCCTGAATTGGAGGTGACCACCAAGGGAAGGGCAGAGGGAGAAGAAGCTGCCACGGGCTGGTTGAGCGGGCAAGAGAAAGGCGTGGGGTTTACCAGCAGGGTGGTGATGGGGATGGACTGAGGCGCCGAGACCGCCCGGGCTGTGGCGGAAAGAGGCTGGAGCACGTTGCAGCCGTTGGCGAGGCCCAAGACTTTGACTGTCCCGGCGGGAACGGTGAAGATGACCGGGGCTGGATGAAGCACTGGGGCGGCCTTCAGCAACGGAGCCACTTTGGGCGTCTTCTTTTTCTGGGACTCCCTTGGGACAGGAACCTTCTGGACGCGGCTGGCGGGGAGAGCCGGGAGGATCATTTTGGGCTGGAAAGCGACCGGCAGGGAAGAGACCACGTTGGGGGACACCGCGGGGGCCAAACACGGACGGGGTCCCGCCGGCCGAGCGGAGAGGACGCCTCGCAGCGCGAAAGGTGGCCCGTGGCCCAGGGCGGAGGTGGGCAGGTTCAGGTGGGGCACGGCCGACAACGGCTGGACCAGCGAGGAGGGCTGCGGCAAGGGGGAGACATGAGCCAATTTGCCCGAGGCCGCCGCTGCGGCAGGCAGAGGTTGCTTGGCGCTCATTTTCAGGAAGCTGCCTGTCCCGGCCGGGGTCAAACACGGTTGGACCAGGAAGGGTTTGGCGACGGCCGGACGCTGCCACCGCCAGATTCGGTCGCAGAAGCGGCTGTTCAGGGGTCTCAGGATGAACTGGAGGCCCTCAGGCATGCGCAGAGGGCACTCGGGGTTGGCGGGATCGGCCGGCTCACTCCCGGCCTTGCTGTCCACGTCGGGGTCCTGGGAGGCCACTCTAGCACGCTGCTGCTCTATGGCCTCTTGGATGGAAGGCAAGCTGGCCTGGGAGAAAGAGGAGAAACAGAAGGAGGTGTGAAAGAGGTGTTTATGTGTGGGTTGTGTTAAAGAGGAGGGGGGAATAAAAAAAAACACCTTGGGTTTGTGTGGAGTGTGAGAGAGTGAACTTTCAAGGCCCACACCGGAGCAAGGAAGTTATTTTTTTTAGAGTCCCAGCCGGGGTGGATTCCGTACGTTAAAAGTTACGTTTATTCGCTATACATTTATTTTCCTTTTTTGTTTTTACGCTCATTTTGGGTCGTTGTTCTCAGTGCTGCTTTGTTTTTCTTTTGCATTTTACCTTTTTATGGTAAAATAAAATATAGTTAAAATTAAAAAAATACCAAGAAAGCTGTTCTTTCCCCCCCTCCCCTCTTTTTTCCCCTCCAGCGTCCAGGTGGGATGGATTCTATAAGTTAAAGTTAAATTTATTTCCTAATTGGATCACCTT